AGATATGAAAATCTGGCCCTACAATTGTACACTGCAGAGATAGCACAGTGTTTGGATACATTTCATAATTAATTTTTTAAGTAGCTGCTTAGCTACTGATTACATATTATTGTCCTACTTCTCAAGTTTTTAAGATGCACAAAGAACTATTAGTAATACACTCATTTGTAGATTTTTCCAAATACACGCAAAAACTGACTTATATTAGTTCTCTTCACCCCAGAAAACTGTATCAATAGTAGAAAAAACTATTAGGGTAGCTATTAGGAGAAAGAGGTTTTGATTTTCTTTATGCCAGTGATTGATGTGTGATCAACAAAGTCAGTTTCTTTAGCTGTTACTAGACAAAGAGTGTTTTAATCCTTACTAAAGCAATTTTGTCATCTTTGTATGCCTAGTTATGGAACATAATTTTTAATTTCATAGCTGATCATGGAACTTATGAATTTTCTCTTCCTAAGTTTTACACTGTATGTTCTCAAGTACATCATAATACCTTGATCAGTTTAGTGGCCAGGGAGATGGCTCAGTGGAATAAGCACTTCCCTGGCAAGCGCAAGGGCCTGAGTTCAATCCCCAGTTCTGAAAAAAAAATTTGCTTTTGAGTTGGGGGAGATGACTCGGTGGAATAAGTGCTTCCTTGGCAAGCGCAAGGGCCTGAGTTCAATCCCTGGTTCTAAAAAAAAAAAAAAAAAAATCAGTTTAGTATCTCATCTCTATAGTACCTATTATTGAGGTAGGGCACAAATGTACCAAACAATGTAGGTAATAACTTTTTAATTTTTTAAAAAAATTATTTATTTGGTACAGGGTCTCACTACGCAGTTTACACTCATCGTGATCCTCTTATCTCAGCCTCCCCTGAAGAGTACAGACATGTGTGACACCATGCCCAGTTTCACTGGCCTGCACGACATGTGGTACTGGGGATCGAACCTGGGTGCTTGTACTTGCCAGGTAGCTGCTTAGACCATCACACTATATCTCCAGCTCAACTTTTGTATTTTTTGAGACAGGGTGTCACTATGTAATCCAGACTGAGTTTGAATTCACTATGTAGCCCAGCATGCCTCTGAACTCAGATGCTCCTGCTTCAGCTTCCCAAGTGCTGAGATTACAGGCATGCAGTATTATGTCTGGACAATAATCATTTCATGTAGCAAGACATGGCCAATATCTGAAAAATGCTTAAGATTTTAATAAGGAATCATATAAGGTTTGCCCCAATAAACACATATTTAAGAAAATAATAAAAATGGCTATATTTATCTGAACATTCTTTTAGTAACTAAGATTGATTAGCTGAAGAGTCAAGAATACACAGATTTGCAGCTTCACAGTAAGAAAGTTTTGTAAGACAAAACAAAGTTAAACTTAATGAATGACATCTACAATTCTGAAAAATAAAACTGAAAAACTACATCCATATCTAAAAGAAATCATTTAATCTATTAATTCCAACCTTTGTAAAATATTTTACATAGGCTGGCCAGACAGCTCAGAGGATTAAAGTGCCTGCTTAGGCAGATGCAGGGACAGGGTTTGATCCCCAGCCTGCTGTGCCAGCCCAGCCCCCAGGATGCGCTAAGATGGTGATTGAGACTCGGTGTGGTGGTGCGCACCTGTAATCCTAGCACTTGGGAGGCTGAAAACAGAAGGATCACTACAAGTCCAAGTGATCTGTATAGTGAGACCCTGTAGACTGTGCACTAAGTACATAAAAAATAATAAATTAAAATGTTTGAGATGCCTAGATAGCAAAACTTCTATTTCAATACAAATTAGAAAAAGATATTTCAAAATTGCAGCAATTAGCAACATTTAAATATTGACTAAAAGATAATAGCATTGAGCCAATTTTTGATTCCTTCATTTTCATAATTATTTTGTGATTAGGTACTAGGATGCCTTTGTTCTTCAGAGATATATACTGAACTGTTACTCAAGAGTAGAAGAGTTTTTTGTTCACATGGGGAGAGGAACAAGGACGAGAGGACAGGAAAGGGAAAAGTGAAAAAAGTGAGAAAAGAAAGAAAAATGGAAACAAGGCTTTTGTAAATGGGAAGGGGAAGAGGGTATTGAAGGAAGGGTATGGGAATGGGAAAAAATCAAGTTATATCTTATACATTCATCTTGATGAATGTGATCATTATGTATAAAATGTACCAATAAAATCTTATTGAAGAAAAAATCATAGAAGGGTCACTTTCTCTCAAATATTTCAAAAAGAAATGCACAGATGAGAGAGAAAGTGATAAAATAAAGGTAAATATTACTAGTTGTTTTATTTGAGTGCAGGGTGTATTGGAATTCTTGATACTTTTAAGAACTTTTTTTTCTTTTTTACTGGCTCAGCCCACCCTGAAGGTGGGGCTGGCATGGCATGTGGTGCCAGGGATCAAATCACGGTTCCCTGCAGCTGCCTAAGAAGGCACTTTAGACGGCTAAGCTATCTCACCTGCCCCATACTATCCCTTTTATGCATGTTTGGAATTGTTTCAAAACAAAAAGTTATCAAAAGTCTTTTTAGGATAGTACCTAATGGGCACTATAAAATGCTCTTATCATTAACTTTTTTTTTTTCTTTGCGGAACCAGGGATTGAACTCAGGCCCTTGCACTTGCCAGGCAAGTGCTTATTCTACTGAGCTAACTCCCCAGCCCATCATTAACTTATTGTTGTGTGACAAAAACAAAAAATATCCTTCAAGTGGTGCCCATTCTTTGATCAATAATTTCTGAGATGTATACTTATTAGGTTCTGAGATTAAAAATACTATATGTAAAGGAACTTAAAAACTCTGATTCTAACAGCTTCAGTAACTTTTATAGTTCTTTGCTTCATACTATGCTTTGCAAATCTATGTAAAAATAGCCCTAATATATCAAATTCATTTATTATTTAACCTACTGTAGAAATTAGTTTTATTTTGTGGATTCATAGGGAGAGACTGCATCCTAAATGGACAGCTCTTTTCTGCACAATAATCTTCAAACAGAAGAGCTAAACCAACCCAAAAACTTTTGTACCACATACAGGACACAGGGCATTCTACATAATCAAAGACATTGTACCTGAACTGTCAGCAACTTCCACAATGGTCTAGAAAAAAAGGAATGAAAGAATAGTCATATTTTACATATTTGTTAGTTTTGCTTAGAAGAATGGTATGTAGCATATTATCTGAGAAAATTTAGGATGATAAAAATAACATTTAAATTTTAATTCTTTATTCAGTAGCAATACTGTTGTCCAGAAAAACTGCTACAAAATGCATGGAAGTCGTGGAAATACTTACTGTGTGCAGACCAAATCTTATTTATGTTTGACTTTCTATAATGTTTATCCCAATGCCCTATTCAGAGGAAGCATACAATGTATTTGTGAAATGAATGAAACATGTCATATTTAGTGGTTTTTTATGGTGTTGTTTGAGATTTTTGAGGCAAAGTCTTCCCATGTAGTCCAGCCTGGACTTGAACTCATTACATATCCCTAACTGGCCTGGTACTCACCACCATCCTGGATGCACATATTGTTGAGTATAGGTATAGTTAAAGTAGAGAAATCTGTTGCAGTAGTATTTTTCTTAGTTTGAAATATAATGACAGCCAAATTAGGTTAGTCTAAAAGGCCAAGTATTTCCTAGCTCATTTCATTTCTTCTTAAATGATAATGTTGCATTGTCAGATTTTTCTCTTACTGATGACTACACATTGTGGGTGATTCATTTCTTTATTCACTAAGTATGCTTTGCATCCACATTCTGTTCTAGACATTATATTAGACACTGGGGTAAAGAGGTGAATCAGACACTATCCCTAATAATAACAGCTAATAATAGCTAAAATATATATAGCACTCACTACATTCCTAGAGCATAAGTCCTTTATAGAGATTAATTCAATCTTCACATTAGCTCTATAAAATAAGAACAAGCAGTATCCCTATGTTGCAGGTGAGTAAGGTAAAGCTGAGAGTAAATAATTTTCCTAATGTCATAAAGCTAAGATATGGTAGATACAACTCAGACTTTGAATTGTAATGGGTCAACTCACATTTTAGACTATAAATGTAAATCTTGTGTTTTCTATTGTGTAAAAAAATGTATACTCACCACTATTCTAAGTTGTTTAGTAATAAGTGGCTGTTTCTTGCTGTTTGCTAACATAAAATTCCTTGCTCACTAATTCCTGTAAACAAAGTTAGTTTATAGAGATGACTTCAAAAGGAAACTAAACGTGCTCTAACTTCTTGTAACCTGGGGCTATGCAAAGCTGCGTGCAGGTACTCAGGTGAAAGAGAACCAGAAACTAAAACAAAACCCCAGGAAATTTAATTTGAGTAGTGGTTACACTGACCCTGAAAGCATTATTTTGTGTCACGCAATGAAATTTGCTTACCAAACTAAATGTGGTTCCAGGTTTTAAAAAAACCCCAGCTGGGTGGGGGGAGAAGGCTCAGTAGAATAAGTGCTTGCCAGGCAAGGGCATGAGTTCAATCCCGGGTTCCACAAATAAATAAATAAATAAATACACGCCCCCCCCCCCCGCTAGCCAACTTTTGGTCCTTTCCTGAGTGAGAGATGACTGGGGCCCCTGAGCTCAGTAATAAACGGGCATTCTAAATTCCAATCTGGCTGGTCTGGTTCCTATTCTGAGTGACCAATAACAGAAATTAGTTTGTCTGATTATTAAGCATGCACTCTTAAGCACTCTACTATACTGCCTCCCTACAGTCATGGAGCTTATACTAGAGTAAGGTTAGCAAATCTATTAAAATATGTATTGTTTGGGTTATGCATATTCTGGTAGACAAAAATATGGCCATCTAGTAGAATGTGGCTGCTTTTTGTTACTAAGTATGCATATGATTATACTTAAAATAGAAGGAAGTACTGAACTGAACCTCACAGATGGCTTTGCCAGTCTAATGAGACTTGGAAAGGAAGAGCATTCTTGGCAGAAGGAATAACATGGGCAGAGGCATGAAAAGTAAAAAACAACTGGCTGGCTTTGGGAAATTCTAGATAGTGTGGTTCAGCTAGTGTAAGGCATGGGGTAGGGGCATGGCACTGGAGAGGTAAGCAGAAGCAAAAGGATGGAGAAACAAGGAGATAGAAGACAATGGACCAAGAGGAGAAAACAATCCCGCGAGGACAGTACTTCAAGAATGAGAAGCAAAATCCCTAGTAAAGCCAATGAATAATTTAATATATCATATGATAGAATCTATAACTATGAAAAATCATAATTGGGGAATTTTAATGTCTGAGAAAATATATAGAAAATATGAAATGATAGTTAAATTGTATATATAATTCTCATTTTGTTAGATAATACAGTGTTCTATCTCACAGTCACATATAATATATAATACATACATATGCACACATATGATATGACACACATAAGTATGTGTATATAAGTTATACATATATATGATTTACACACAAATGAGAGTGGGAATAAAACACATCCTGTTAATCATGTCTCTTTCTGGATGGTGGATTCTTAAGTAATATTATTCTCTTTATATAGCTTTCTACACTTTCACAATTTCACTGCCATAAGCAATTAAAGCGTTTAGAATAACTTCTTACTTCTGATACAGAAAAACAGATTTTCCTAGATCAATACTGTGGTAGTGAGTAACAGGAAACATGAAAATGAGAATTTCAAGCTTTTTCACAAAAATCACATCTTGAAAAAGTGATTTAAATAACTGAAAGACATAAAAGTGATGTCATCAAAGTGAATCATTAAGGAATAGATTACAGAATGTCCTTTCTGAATTAAAGTTAATACATGTGAAACCAAATATTTACAACTTTTAAGCGAAATTCCAATCTATATGCTCTTCTATGAACAACGTGTTATTTCTGTGACTGAAATGGAAACACTAATAAGATTTATTTTCCATAGTCGGAAGTATAAACTATGCATAAGGAATATGGATTTCCACATCAGTACCTTCTCCAGATTGGATTTAAAATGTAACTCAGGCACTTCCTAAACCAAGACGAGGGCGGTACAAGTCTCATTAAGAAAAAGTCTTCCGTGAAGGAAAACCAGTTTATTGCCAGTCCTGGCTTGTAATTAAGACTACAAAAGCACTTCCCTTCTCTTTTCCATCAGTTCAAGCTTCCCCAAACTACTTTAACCCCTCCACCCTCCTTCCAATTACTTACTGCTAAAATTGATTGTATTCCTCAGGTTGTTTGCTGATTAACCAGGTATCTCCTTAGGGATCTTTGTTACTCCACAGTGCCAAACAGTGACTCTTCCTGTCCCTTAAAGGTCTCTGGTTTCTCCTGCTGCGGTCTATTTCTGAAGAGATTTTTAATGACAGCGAGTCTAGGGCTCCCCGCAGTGGATGCTTTGTATGCACTGGACGCCTTGGCCTTTTTCTCATTGTAAAGTCAGGTACTCTGGAAATTTCCATTTCTATGCCAACTTTAAGACTATTCTTAAGTACAAGAGAGTTCAACCTGGGAACTTCGTGTATCATTTTTCCCAGTACACTCTGTCCAAGTTTGTCACATCAAAGCAGTAAAGTGGAGGGTTGGGCACCATATGGAGTGGCTCTCCCTCTAAAAGATACCTTTGGATGACTACCACAGTTACAGGCGTCACCACTGAGGGGTGACTCGTCAGCAAGGTGAGCATATTATCTGGTCAAGAGCTTTTTGCTCAAGATCTGTGTTCTCAGGTACCAGCCTTTCGTATCACCCCTCGTGGGATCTCCTAACCTGATCTCAGGTTTCGGACAATACAGCCCAGCGTGTAAATGCTGGCCTATGGCTGACTTGACTCTGCATTTGCTGTGGGAAACTCTGAACTCCCCCATTTCCTAAGGGCATTTTACCGGGTTCAAAGCTGGGAGAAAAGAAATCGCGCGCTTTGACGAACGTCGTTACTCCGCCCCTGCGGACTCTGCCACTTAGCGAGGTTAAAAAGGGTAGGCCTGCGCACGCACGAAGCCTTGCCCCGCCCCCCTCTTGGGACTCAGAGAGGCGGTTGCTAGGCAGTCGCACTCTGACCTACGCATCACGTAACTGTGACTTGTTTCCGGCCCATTTCCTTATTCGCACGGAGCTTCGGGAGAGAGGGGGCGGAGGGTGGTTATGGTTTCCAGTGCAAACTAGGAGGGAGGAGGAGGGGCGCTCCTGGCGTCTCTAGAAGGGAAAGTCCCCAGAAAAAGGCTATAAAGAAAGAAGACGGGAGCTAAAAGAAAGAAGACGGGAGCTTACTGGTTAGCTCAGTTGTTTATGCGCCTCCCTAGGCAAACCCAGTCAGGCTTGTGGGACCGCGGTTCGATTCCCCAGGCCCACAAGCCACACCACACATTAAGGCAGCCTAAACCAGGCAAAAAAAAAAGTTCTTCTGAACCTTAGGACTGGCCAAATGGCACAGTGGATGAAAGCGCCTTGGCGCTGCCGTGTGGGCCCCGCACCCGGGCTCGCTGAGAGGACAATTGAGACTAGGCGTCGCGGCTTGCGCGCCTGTAATCCCTGTAGACCCTTCCCTAAAATACAAAAAAAAAAAAAAAAGGAAAGACGGCAGGAAGTGAGGTGTATGTAGTAAAAAATCAGGTATGTGGGGATTTGGGCGTTGAGCCAGCAGTAGAAAGTAATTTACAATGTGGGTCTCCAATGGTGTGAACCAAACCAGACAATATATGCAGGGCCTTCAAGGCAGTCTCTGCTCAAAGTCTTCAGTAAACTTTAGCTGCTGTTGCTATTAGCCTTAACATATTGTCTCTAGTGACTCCTAGTGTGGGGTGGGTGGATTTGTGCTTAAGTGCAACTGGAAATTGTAGAATTGTCAAGTTAAAGTGCTGCTTCAGATTAAATGTTAAAATGTATTTATTTTTTATATTATACCTGGCTCTTTTTTTGGTTGTATTTTTAGGGAAGGGTCAACAAGGTGTTCAGAGTCTCACCACTAGCTTGGACTCGTAGTGATCTGCCTGTTTACAGCCTCCCAAGAGCTGGGATTACAGGCATGCATCACCATACCCAGTCTCACTTACCATCTCAGTGCACCCCAGGGGTGGGGGCAGCAGGGCAGGCCTAGGGATCATACCCCGGCCCCTGAGCCTGCTTGCAGGTACTTTAATCTGCAGAGCTATTTGGCCACTCCCCTCCCCCCTTGTTTTTATACCTGGCTTAACATGCATCTAGGACATAGAATTTTAGCAACTACATTTTTAATTACAAAGCATATGTTGGTGATAAATGTAAAGTGAAAAAGCTCATCAAAATACAGTAATGTATTTATTAGATGTATCCACATGTGTCAGTATACTTAGAAGGCAGCAGTTGTTCTAAGAATATTTATGAAGTTCCTACTATGAGGCTGGCACTGTTCTCAATATTAGGGAATAATTGTGGGTACTATCTCTCAGTTAATATTCTCATTGCTTCCACTAAAGAACTCTGTTATTGTTAATATATAATTAAATAACTCCTTTTACACAAATATCTTGAGTGTCTATAGGACACTAGTGTCTGCATGCTGACCAAAACACATACCAAGGTGAATAGTAGCAGAGAGGGAGGAGATTATGCTTACTGACATGTGGTCTCATTGTGTTGCTGAGGCAGGGTTGTAAGTTGCCATCCTCCTGCTTCAGCTTCCCAAGTACCTACATGTATGTCACAATTCCTGTCCAGGAGTTAATATTTCAAAGCGTGTATGATTAGGGAAAAGCTCTCTAGTGTTATTTAACAAACAACCAACTGAACGTGAAGGAGTTAGCTATGTGGGTATCTGGGAGGACACTTCAACAAGAGGGACAAAAACAGACTCCATGAGACAGACACATGCTTGATATTTTCTTTCCTTTTTTTGCAGAACATGCTTGATATTTTCAAGAAGATGCAAAAGATAAAACTGAGTGGGGGGCCACAAAGATAGCTTAGTGGTCTAAGCACCTGTCTGGCAAATGTAAATAACCCAGTTGGATCCCTGATACCACATGCCATACTGGTCCTGAAACTGGGTGTGGTGGCACACATGTAATCCCAGTGTGGGAGAGGTTGAGACAGGAGAATCAGAAGATGACTATGAATCTGAACTGCGTAGTGACACCCTGTATTCCCAACCAAATATATAATCAAACATGAATGGACTTTGGGAGAGGGGTGGGAGCTGAGGTTAGTAAGATATCAGAACCTTGGAGGTCCTCTGTTTTGAGCAGAAGTTAAAAGACACTTTGTTTTGAGCCCCAGTGCTTTTATGAAAAGTCATTAAACCAATTATGTCTAAAGTGATATTTCTTCTCTTTGAATCACTTTGTATTTATCACTCATTTAACATTTGTCATATATTACCTTTAACAAAAATAAAACTCTCAATATATTTTTTCAAACTGTTTAAATTTCTATTGATATTTTGGACCCCAAAATTAGTTGTTGTGGTACTGTTTTGAGCACTCACTGTAAGGTTTGGGAGTATTTGTGGTCCCCAGCTGTGACATAACTATAGAGCCCATTCCTTAATGTCCCCTGTGGTGCAAAATTGCCTCTAGTTAGTTTAGATTAGGTTAAGTACTACTGGTATAACTTGGTTATGAGCTTTTTGTAAACAGAAACTGTTCATTATTTTGTGTATTTCTTTTTTCTTTCTTTCTTTCTTTCTTTCTTTCTTTCTTTCTTTCTTTCGGAACTGGGGATTGAACTCAGGCCCTTGCGCTTGCCAGGGAAGCACTTCTTCTACTGAGCCATCTCTCTGGCCCCTGTATTTCTTTCATTACTGCTCTGCATAAATGACACTTGACTATTTATTACATCATAAATAAACACAATATACAGCAATCCCTACTTACAAAACATAAAATAAGTTCCTGGGTGTAGGTATTTTGTAATGTCCATTGATGAATCTTCAGTGGCAAAGATTAGTATCTAGCATAGAGTAGGTGCTCAATAGTAATTGTTCTATGAATAAATGATATTGATTTTTATTAGGTTTACTGTAGTGGTCTTTAAAGATCAAATGTCTTAATTACTTATGAAAGAACTAATTGAAATACTTCAAAACTGTTCCTGAGTCCTAGCCCAGGTCCGGTGAGTGTGCGGAGAGTTTCCTGCTACCCTGCGCCGGCGGGACCAGTCCCAGCCCAGGCGCAGCGTG